GTATCAGAAGGGAATGGCATGGGTGGTTGGGGTTTCTCAGGATCTGGCACACCATTATGAGATCGCCCCTTAGACGCCGATAACGTCCACTGTATATTTTGAGTCTTCAGCCTGAGTGGGTAGGAGAGGCTAATCAAACCTCTGACGTTCTTCGTTGCCCTACGTTGTGCAGTATCGAGCGCGATGAGATGGTGCTTGAGCCAGGGTTGCCACGCTTGAATAGCGTATTCCGCGTGCGACCTCACGTACGCACTAAGCATTTCTGGAAAGACTGAAGGGTCAAACTTCCCGAAAGCTCTGCGAAGAAGGCTAAAGTGCTGATTTGCCTTCTTAGATGCCTTTTCAGTCTGCCTCAAACAACCGAGATCATCTTGAACTAGCACGTCGAAATCGCACTCGTGAGAAGCCCGCTGTAGAATTTGTGGTCCTAAGCGGTACTTGTGCATACTTTTCTGCCCTATGCTGAGAACTTCGCACTTGGTGACGTTGGAATGCAGCATGTTCTCGATGGACCATGTGTACGCTTTGTCCAGGTCCGCCTGTAACGCTGTGTGATCCGCCACTGCAGCTATAGTACGCCATACCTTTAGATCATCAGCAAATAGCAAACATTTAGAAGATAACACGCTCGCGAGATCATTTATGAAAACCAAGAACAGGCGGGGTCCATGTATCGAGCCCTGAGGTACGTCGCACTGAACTTCGATGGATTCCGATAGATTACTTCGAACCCTCACATTCAGGTGACGTTGAACGAGAAAGTCTCCTATCCAGCCCAGAACAGGATCGCCGATTCCATATTTCTGGAGTTTGTGGAGGAGAATGCGATGGTCTCGACGGTCGAATGCTTTTGAGAAATCCAAGTAGGCCGCGTCGACTCCTACACCAGCGTCCACAGATTCCGTCCAGCTTGCATGAGCAATCAACAGATTAGTGGTACAGGACCGATTTTGGCGAAATCCGTGCTGCTCCGGAATGAGAATTTTGTTGTTCTCCAGGTACCTCATCAAAGCCTCAGCTACAATGGACTCCATAACCTTGGAGATCACAGGAAGTAGTGTTATCGGGCGATAATTTGCTGGTTCAGCACGACTGCCACTTTTGTAGATTGGCGTGATGATTCCGTGCTTCCACATCGTGGGGACGTGCATCTCGTTCAGACATCGTTGAAAGAAAATTGCTAGTGGCGCCGCCAAACTCATGGCAGCAACTTTCAACGCCTTCGGGCGAATGCCGTCCGCACCCGGGGAGCTGAACTCGTGCAGAGACATCAGCCTCCTCAGTACAGCTGCGGAGGTGAACGATATGTGATTAAGCCCTGATGGCGGCATTACTGCTTAGGCAGGATGTATGATGATTGCACGCTTTGGAAGGTACGGCCAAATTGTTGTCCAAGAACGTTGGCCGCCTCTTGTGCGGCTTGGGCTAACCCGCATGCTGTGTGCAGAGCAGGAATACCGCGCTTAACACGGCGCAAATTGTTTACGTTTCTGTATAGCGGTTTGGGATTGGAGCAAAACTTTTCCACTAGACCTTGTTGGTTCTTCAGTTTATCCTCCCGAACGAGTTTGACACAGTGATTCCTTTGTATTGTGTAGACATCCCAGGTATCGTCGTTCGGGGAGGCTATGTAGGTGCGCCATGCCAAGTCCCTTAATGCCATGCATTTACGTGTCCTGCTCCTTACGAAAGACTTCATCCTTTTACGCCGGCAGAGTTTGGTTTCAGATGTGCTTGCCACGAGCTTGTTAAATATGTTGACAAATTCTCCGCAGGCCACCTCAGGGGTCAATTCGGCTAAGAATGACCAGTTTGTTGCATCAGTGAGGTCGGACAGGTCGTGATGTTGGCTACGATATGATATTCCTCGGCACGCTCTTTAGGATAATCCGCGTAGCACATGTAATGAAACTCTAGCGTCGCATCAGCGCTGCTGCCCAAAGGAGTATCGGTTATCACTCTCTCGACCACCAGTTCCTCATTATTGAATATTCGGACCAATATGGATGGCCTGTTAGTTCCCCTGGATCTGGTGGGCGTAGTGACGTGGCCATAAAGCGGGAAGCCTGAAACCAGACCTTGCAAGTCTGCTTTGAATTGCTCTCCTGGTGTGGCCTGGGATTCTAGAGCATGTAAGTTGAAGTCGCCGGTGACTAGAATGTGACTGTACTTCCTGTTTATCACTTGCCTCAACGCAGCCATCAAGTTGCAGTCCATCTCAGGAGTAGACGATGGTGGGCGGTGAACAACAACCAATAGGCCAAGATCGTTCCCTCTCAGCCGGAAATTGCACCAAATGGAGTCAGGTACGTCGGTTTCCGAATCGTTTATGGGTTCGCATTGCATGTTGTTACGAAAGTAGAGGGCTACCCCATCACCTTTGCTGGCTTGATCCTTCTGGACAACGGACATGCCCGTTAGCGCGATTTCAGCATCCGTTTTCTCACAGCGCAACCACGTTTCGGTGACAGCGATGAGGTCCCAAGCTGCTGACTCGTGTCGAAGTCTTAATTCAGCTAACTTGCTGAGTAGACCTTGGGCATTTGTGTACATGCATGAGAGCTTCTTGGAGCCTAAAAGTGTGTTAGATTGGATGGACGAAGCAAGTGAGTTTACGCCGACCAATAAAGGGTCGGCGACTAATCGTTTTTTGGATGGGTTGCAGACTCTCGAGACGAATTTGGTATGTAGTCAAGTATCAGATGCCCCGGATCCCGGTGTTTGCTCGTTCTCTGCTGTGTCCCTCCGGATATTATGGCTACTGTTGAAACCGTCCCCGAGTCGGGTCCTGCAGTTGGCGTTTTCGTTAAGAGTTGTGTCTCTACTGAATTGTCATTAGAAGGTGCTGGTGTTCCCGCTGCTTTCAGACGAATTTCTGTTGGCAATCTGAAACGGAATTTAGTCCAGTTCTTTAGTAGAGTTTGTGTCGTTAGTTCTGATTGTAACGCAAGTTTTAACAGCCTGGGACCGCACCACTTATAGTTTGATGATATGGGAATCCTTGTCAACGAGGTGGCCACGACATTTTCGAGAGAAAGAGCCTCCCGGATGTAGTGTCATTGCTCGCGATCATGCATCTGAGCATCGTCGGAAAAGGAATCTGTAAGCTCAGGAACACCGTGAGCAATCACTGTCTTCTTATCTTGACCTTTTCTGTACCTCTCTTTGTTAGCGGGATCCACTGAAAGATTCTTTCCACGGGATTTCAGGTAATATGCGCACTCCACCTGAGGCTATGCGGAGACGATTCGCAGACAGCAGAACGGCCTCAGTCTCGTCCGCCGAGTTTAGTGTTACCCGAAGTAACCGGGGTTCGCCGTAGTGCAACGCGTTTGGGTGACGCGAGATTCCTTTTAATGTCGTGGGATTAGCATGGACACCGATGGACGTACAGATGGAACCCCACTGATTTTGATCGTCCGTCAACCTTGTGATACGGGGAGTTGTTCATGCACAAGATTGGTCGTTAGGGATTACCCTTCTTGTGTATCTTCGGCGCGCCTTTCATTCTTGGGGTTTCCGTTCCCAGCGGCTTTAGTTATCGATACAGTGATTCGGTGATATACCCATGCAACAAAAGGATTTGCAGTTTTCTTGCAACCTGCTTTTCTACCAGATGATTGGTGTCAACGTTGTTGTCCACTTGGAACTTACACGTATCCCCAAGAACAGATTTCATCTTGGAGATATACTCCGCTTCATCCATGATCACAAGCCCCGATCCTTTATCCGGCTGCAAAAAGACATGTTTCATTTCTTTCAACTCTTTGATCGCCTTGTAATGCTCAGCTCCCAGGCAACACCTTTGGCTTACCGGTGCGTTAAGGAATTGGTTCGCGATGTCCACCAATTTTGCACGAAACCACCCTGCATCTTCAGTTGATCTCGGTGATAGCTCGCTTAGTTGATCATACAGATACTCAAAATTCACCTGTGTGCTGATCCGGTTGACATTCCTCGGTGGCAGCCTATACTTTAGTCCCAGTGAAAGAACTTCTAACTGTTCTCGTGTGAAGTGAGACGATGAAAGATTGTGTACGTGTTTGATGCACTCATCAGCGAATGCTGCTTTGGCCATGCTTGCAAGAGAACATTGCAAGCTGTGCAACGTTTTAGTCAGCGTACGGCAGAAAATCTCAGCCGAAAATGCTTCAAACTTGAGGCGGTAAACCAGAGATAGCCGGTTAAGAATACTCGCAAATCGCGTTTGTTTCTCAAGGTACTTGTGCTGACGCTCAAGGTAGGCGTCCATATGGACAGAAGCAATTCTAGCCAGGTTGCTTTTGTTAACTGGTAATTTGTTCCTTGATAGAGCTTTAGCGAACCGAGATGGAAAACAACCTGACTGGATACACTCATCGTAGAATCTAATCCGTACGCGTTCCATCGTTATCTTGCAGCGCAACGATAGCAATCGATCCAATGCCTTCGCAACATTAGCGGGAAGTCTTCTTTTGAGAAACGTGAAACATAGTGTTTGCAGTAACGGCTTAAATTTAGTTTGCACAATATTGTACTCAGTCTGCTGGCATTTCTAGAATACGTTAAAGGCAAGAGGTCGATGAGTGTTGTCTCCATTGCTGCTGCTTCTTACCCTCGCTTCCTTGTTTCACCTCTCGCGATATTTGTTTTTCGTCGTTTCCGTGCCTCTCACATTGTCTTTTGCTCGGCCTCTTACTAAGTGGTAGTCGTATGAGCATGTAAAGCCCACGAAGTGTGTGTGTTTTGTTTCAGCTCCAAGGGTCATTACGACTCGTGGCACTAATTGGATACTGAAGAATTTGAAACGCTGGACCGGAAGAATATTACGGGTGGTCGAACCTCTTACAACTAGACCGTATCATGCTCCATAGCAAAGGTATCTATTTTTAGCACATTAATCCATCGCCAACATTAAGAAAATCGAGCTAAAACCAATCCATAAAGGTAAAATGCAAACTTCCTAAGCGGACAGCTTAATAGGGTAGATGTGGCATATACAATGGCATCCGGACACCTACCCTGCGGCTTGATTAATCCTATCAGCAGAGTTCATATATCGCAGGCAGCGGATCAGTGCAGGTGCGTCTATCCGTACGTAGTGTGGAACAGTGAGGCGCCACTGAACAGAAGAATTTCCGAACTGCCCAGCAGGAACCGCATCTGCACGAGTTCCATTCCACAAATCGCCTAGCATGGCTTTTTGAGAGGCTTCCACTTCGGGACCTTGAACTGATGGACAGCCAAGCTCGCGGCCTAGTTCGATTGCGTAATACCTCATCCGGATATGATTCGGGTCGGAGACAGCCCAGTGGGACAAATCGGATCCAGACATGATAATCAACTTGTGGAACAGATCTGGTCGAAGCACAAATAAGACAATAGAAAGAAATGTGACAATGTGTGTGATGTTTAGCTTAACACCCTCGGTAGTGAGGGTTATTTGAAAGTAGGGCTTTTGCCAAGAGAGTTTCAAGAAAGAATCCGAAAGATTGATTAAAAGGCGCCGCTGTAACGTACATTGACACAGTAATCATGGTGGTTAACTTACTTTGTATTCCGCGAAGTATTTCCTTAGTACATCGGAAATTTACATAGCAGTAATGTGCGTGATGGTAAACGTCAAATGATGTTAGTTTGGTAATGTGATTGTTCTTATAGACTTGACGCATGGAACTAAGTGTAAAATGATACGGCCGGTGGTTGGTGGCCGAGTAGTCTGCATGCCTGGCCTGTAATCGTAAGGTCACCGGTTCGAATGCGCGTAGGGGCGGACATGCTCGCAGTATACTCGGCCCACGCGCGACGGGCGTTGGTCGCGGAAACGAAACGTCGTTACGGCGTACAGCTGAGATATTATTTATTTATTTAAGATGATTCGGCGTATGGCGCAATCGTAGGACTCAGAAATCTCTCCTTTTGTACCTATCTGACAACTCATTTTCAGGTATGGATGCCACGACAGAAGGACAGCGCTTTGATGATTTCCTTGATGAATACAAGAGTTTGGTGAAGATGTCATTTTAGTTAAGTGAGAGACGGCCAAGGAGGTTAGCATTGGTACTCTAGGCTATGGATAGTTTTCTTGGCCATACACGGTGCAAGAGTTCCCTAGTTTGAACTCTTCTAGATCATTCACTTGCGAGCTTCCATAACAACTGGTAAAATTTGCTAACATGTATCAGTTATCATCAATTACTCCGTATGGAACTATCGGCACACAAAAGAGCGCATTGTGGAAATCCGAAAGTCATGAACCGAATTAGTTTTCCTGAAAGATGGAATGACTGGCATAGATTTTGTTCCCGCATCACATGCGCACGCAAGAATTCGATTATACGATGCAGCTGACAGCCAATCAGTTTCGGATGTGCGTTGAGAACTGTCAATCATATAACCGAACAAAGATTATAAGAGCGAAAGTCCCTGACTCGCCTAATGAAACGCTCGGATGGTTATTATCTCAATGTGATGTTTGTCACGAAGTTGAAAAGCACAGTACTGCCTTTAGCATCAAGCAGCATATGTCTATTGTGGTGATGATGATCGACTTGAGTGAAACATCACAATGCCTAAATGAGTACCGTGAAGCATGGATTTATTACGGGTCAAAAAGCGAATAACTAACAAGTTCCATGGAATGGCCAGAATGAGAACCACAAAAAAGGAGAAGAGCAAACGTTGTAATGAGACGAAAATCATTTTGGTAGATTCACCATGATGTCTACATTGGGACATGCGTAAAACAACCTGTTTTCATTGTGGTGGCTAATGCTGATTGGTGCACCGTTTTCACATTATGTCGTATCTCTACGTACGTAGGCAAGATTTCGTAATGTAGGTGGGATAGGGCAAGGTTAAGGCGTTTTCAAACACAACTAATGTGGTAGCGGAGACAACACAATTGAAAAAGGTGTTCTAAGGCTGACACACGAGAGGAGAGCAAAAGTTTCGTCGACATTCTAGCCGGCTGTGTTGCATGGCCAAGTTGAACTGGTGGTTCCTCAGTTTCGCTTGTCGCTAGGTCGCGATGGGTGGTGACAGCAATGGCGTAGGAAATGCTTTTCAATCATGGACAATGATTTCTAAAGGGGAAAAAGCAGGTGCTTGACATGTCCTGTAGCGTGGTTAGAGTGAGAAAAGATAGATCAAGGGATAATGGAATCGTCGGTTCGGGCGATTATAGATTAAATTGTGCCGCCGTATAAAGGGTAAAAAATTATAATGTACACAAACAAAGCAATAAGGGAGTGGTTATTGATCACGTAATAAGCGAGAAAAAATAAAATATAGCAAGGACAACGCTTACTCGTGTGCAACTATCGCGGGTCGACGGGATACAGAAATCCAGTTTCTACAGTAGTAGCCTTTATCAAATTGTGTGCAAGGGGTTTGAAGCGACTCATTCTCGAGTAGGGTTATGGCGCCGTCCACCGTCTGTTATGCATTAGTGCCAGCATCTGGTGGTCATGGGCTATAGCACGTAGTGTAAACGTCACAGAGTATCGTCAAGGCTTTTCTTGAAAAGGGATACGGTGGGTGCATTAAGTACATGTTCCGAGAGGGCGTTCCAAGACTGTGACACTCGAAGGGAGAAATAGTTCCGCCAACATTCCAGGCGGTTGTACTGCGTGACCAGCTTAAACCGATGACCTATTAGCGGGGTGTTTTGAGTGAGTATCAGAAGGGAATGGCATGGGTGATTGGGGTTTCTCAGGATCAGGCACACCATAATGAGATCGCCCCTTAGACGCCGACAACATCCATTGTATATTTTGAGGGTCTTCAGCATGAGTGGGTAGGAGAGGCTAGTCAAACCTCTGACGTTCTTCGTTGCCCTGCGTTGTGCAGTATCGAGCGCGATGAGATGGTGCTTGAGCCAGGGTTGCCACGTTTGAATAGCGTATTCCGTGTGCGACCTCACGTACGCACTAAGCATTTTTGGAAAGCCTGAAAGGTCAAACTCCCCGAAAGCTCTGCGAAGAAGGCCAAAGTGCTGATTTGCCTTCTTAGATGCCTTTTCAGTCTGCCTCAAACAACAAAGGTCATCTTGAACTATCACGTTGAAATCGCACTCGTGAGAAGCCCGCTGTAGAATTTGTGGTCCTAGGCGGTACTTGTGCATACTCTTGTGCCGTATGCTGAGAACTTCGCACTTGGTAACGTTGGAATGCAGCACGTACTCGATGGACCATGTGTACGCTTTGTCTAGGTCCTCCTGTAACGCTGTGTGATCCGCCACTGCAGCTATAGTACGCCATACCTTTAGATCATCAGCGAATAGCAAACATTTAGAAGATAGCACGCTCGCGAGATCATTTATGAAAACCAGGTACAGGCGGGGTCCACGTATAGAGCCCTGAGGTACGTCGCACTGAACTTCGATGGATTCCGATAGATTACTTCGAACCCTCACATTCAGGTGACGTTGCACGAGAAAGTCTCCTATCCAGCCCAGAACAGGATCGTCGATTCCATATTTCTGGAGTTTGTGGAGGAGAATGCGATGGTCTCGACGGTCGAATGCCTTTGAGAAATCCAAGTAGGCCGCGTCGACTCCTACACCAGCGTCCACAGATTCCGTCCAGCTTGCATGAGCAATCAACAGATTAGTGGTACAGGACCGATTTCGACGAAATCCGTGCTGCTCCGGAACGAGAATTTTGTTGTTCTCAAGATACCTCATCAAAGTCTCAGCTACAATGGACCCCATAACCTTGGAGATCACAGGAAGTAGTGTTATCGGGCGATAATTTGCTGGTTCAGCACGACTGCCACTTTTGTAGATTGACGTGATGATTCCGTGCTTCCACATTGTGGGGACGTGCATCACGTTCATACATCGTTGAAAGAAAATTGCTAGTGGCGCCGCCAAACTCATGGCAGCAACTTTCAACGCCTTCGGGCGAATGCCGTCCGCACCCGGGGAGCTGAACTCGTGCAGAGGCATAAGCCTCCTCAGTACAGCTGCGGAGGCGAACGATATGCGATTAAGCCCTGATGGCGGCATTACTGCTTAGGCAGGATGTATGATGATTGCACGCTTCGGAAGGTACGGCCAAATTGTTGTCCAAGAACGTTGGCCGCCTCTTGTGCGGCTTGGGCTAACCCGCATGCTGTGTGCAGAGCAGGAATACCGCGCTTAACACGGTGCAAATTGTTTACGATTCGGTATAGCGGTTTGGGATTGGAGCAAAACTTTTCCACTAGACCTTTTTGGTTCTTCAGTTTATCCTCCCGAACGAGTTTGACACAGTGATTCCTTTGTATTGTGTAGACATCCCAGGTATCGTCGTTCGGGGAGGCTATGTAGGTGCGCCATGCCAAGTCCCTTAATGCCATGCATTTACGTGTCCTGATCCTTACGAAAGACTTCATCCTTTTAGGCCGGCAGAGTTTGGTTTCAGATGTGCTTGCCACGAGCTTGTTAAATATGTTGACGAATTCTTCGCAGGCCACCTCAGGGGTCAATTCGGCTAAGTACTAGCAGCTTGTTGCGAGAGTCAAATTTCCCCCTGGCACTTATAAATCCGTAAATCTTCAAAATTGCAAACACCCATACAATATTTCGGTGTAGATTGCAACAGCCAAAGATCTAAGTTTGGAGCACTGCTGTAAATGTGGGTACTTGTGGTGTTATAATACTCGTGTACGAAAGTTACCATCACACTTCCTGTGCTTTACTTTTGACAAAAGCATCACCAACACTACTAAAATTTAGTCTATTGGCAAGTTCTATCTCTATGGAGAGAACTACTAAGCTAATCACCCTTGTCTGGTTAAATGCTGATCCAGGGTATTTCTTTATAAGCAAGTTTGTTTTAGAAAAAGCGCTGGCTATGATAACAGCTCGGGTAAGAAAATTGTGCAGCACAATTTCCATATACGGTGCATAATCCCCAATGTGATATTGCTGTATGAAGTACCAAACGTGCATTGATTTGGTTGTTTCCCGAAGTATTCATAACATAAAACAATCTTCTTTTGGCAACTAATTTCAAGTTCCTTTATCTTCCTCAGCTTAGCTAAGCAGACACTCGTTGTGTTACCATCAAGTAGATTTGATGGTGCAAGGGAAACATGTTTGCCTGCGAGATCACGAATTTGATGAAATATATGATATATTTCACTGGTCAACCTATGCATGACAGAAAACATCGCTTGTTTCAACTCAGCATCAAGTTCTATTATTCCATGAAACACCTCTTCATCATCCATCCATTTGGCAGATTCGACGTTCCATGTTTATTCCAATCCAGAGCACAACGTTTTGTATACATCCATTGCGCTGTCCACTATCTGCTCTTTACTCTGAACAATGAAAAATAATTTATCACGGGTGAAAAAGCATGTGCTTG